TATATCTCTTAGGTTACCTCAGTGGTATATCTCTTAGGTTACCTCAGTGGTATATCTCTTAGGTTACCTAAGTGGTATATCTCTTAGGTTACCTCAGTGGTATATCTCTTAGGTTACCTCAGTGGTATATCTCTTAGGTTACCTCAGTGGTATATCTCTTAGGTTACCTAAGTGGTATATCTCTTAGGTTACCTCAGTGGTATATCTCTTAGGTTACCTAAGTGGTATATCTCTTAGGTTACCTCAGTGGTATATCTCTTAGGGAATCTCAGTGGTATATCTCTTAGGGAATCTCAGTTACCTCTTAGGCTTGCTTGGCCTCTAACAATTAATGCACAAGAGCCAAAATAATTACACTTCCAAAAGCATGGATATAGATATTGGCAAATCTGAAAGAACTGCTGGAGTTTTTTATGTTGCTATTAGTAGAGTAAAATAATTATAAACAATTAACAAGCTTGAAACCATCAGCTAACTTACAAATATTTAAAGGCTTGAAGAAGGAAACTGGCTAGATCGGTTAGCACAGGCTACTAGCACTAGCAGTGCATTCACAGCAACAAACTACTGAGTTTGAATAATAGCCTCTCATATATAAATCCCAGTTATAGATTAATTGACATGTAGCTTTTACTATATAGTATATACCCTTTTAAATAATTTAATTTATTATATAATAATTAAGGTGCTGATTACATGGAACGATTTCAGCCCGTGCTGAGTTTCAAACGAGCTACCCGGGCTGAATATTTTGATGATTACATGGGCAGTTTCAATCTGATTTAGCCCGGGAAAATTTATCGCAAGCTTTGCAGGAAATACACAAGTTTTGATAAAAACACTACAACACATGTGTGTAAGCTATAAAGGAGCTTCAGCCTGGGCTGAAATTCTTGCCATGTAATTATGCATGGGATTTTATTTGGATTTATCGTTAAAGCCGGGCTGAATTTTCAGCCTCAGAGGTAGCTGAAATTGTTCCATGTAATCAGCCCACAATTTACCTTTTGTTAACAGTGTATGTATGTATGTATGTATGTATGTATGTATGTATGTATGTATGTATGGGAATATTATGATTTGCCAGATAAAAGAATAGTAAGTTTTTTGTTTGTTTAACCCCTCCTCCTGCCCTAGCTGTATTTTCGTTAATTTGTGTGCTACTATGTTTCTTATGTAAATATTTAGTATATCTCATACTACCAATTATTTTTTTTATGGTTTTGCAATTCTGGCAGATGTGCATGCTGCCATGTTAACTGCTGGATGAAACCAAATGGTTGTTACAGCCAAGATATAATACATCGCATGAAAATGGATGGGAGCTTCTGGATTAACAGAAATGTATTTCTATTAAAACAAGATGCTGATTTACAAGATTGGTATGGATTTACTACATATCTGCCATGTATTATTAAATTACTGTACTTGTTTCCAATCTACCATATGGATGTCAGGAACAGTGTATGTCAAGATATTACATATCTTTATATGTACAGTAACAAGTTATTGGACAATAATGATGACCAACAATGGACTCTACCTGTACATGCTAAATTAATACGAAATATCTACATCATGTCCGCAATTTCTGGCCATGATTGGAGAAAAAACCCTATGGTAACACTTGTTTACCAAATGGAAAATACAGTAGACTATCATTACTTGGAAAGAATATGAAAACTTGCAACAAACTAGTCATATCAGGTTCCATTACAATCACATGTATGAAAATCCGAAGTACATTTGACAGTATATTATAATTATTGCTTGTTGTAAGTTTAAACAAAATAAATTCAAACATACAGTGTGTGTATAAGGCAATTTAAATTTAAGTCAATCCCCAGGGCTTTGGTCGTACGGCAGCACTTCTTGCGATAGTAACTTCTAGTAGTATTCTATAGTTTACATTTATCATTAATGATAAGGTTAATTCAAAGAGCGTATTAAACTGGATAAACACGGGAATAGAACTTATGGTGTGTTCTGCACATGCGTATTTTTAGGATAAAATCCCACAAGCGCAAACGAAACAATTTCTCTATAAAGTTGAGCTGAAAGGACTCACATGCAGTGACCGTTTTGGCAGTGCTTCAGTCGCCCGATGATATTGTATGAGGGGCCTTTATGGGGCGCCGTAGCGGACAATATTGCGTTTCAAAAATAAATATCTGCCAAACTGCAGATGTTTGCTCTAATACAAAAATATATGGACTGAACTTTGAAAATATATGTGGTGAACATAATAAATTTGTTCTGAACTTAATATATATCTGCCAAACTTAAAAAATACGTGCTAAACTTAAGATATATGTTCCCAACTTGAAATAGGCATGCGATTATTTTCATAAATATTGGCCAAATTGGATAAGTTCATGGTAAACTCGACAAAACATTGCTGAACTGCAAAAATATATGCTAAACTTTAAAAGTTTTCTATACTCAAAAAATATATGCTCTTTGAAAAATATATATTCTAATTATGATGCTTTGCGGCCTTATTATATCACGTGACAAACAGTAACGGCCAACGGACGACCGCCATTTTCTACGATTTCTCGAAGACGAAGATGTTCAACCCAAATGATCTTCAGTTTCACTTAAATAACGCACTGCAAAGGATACAACAGCTCGAAAGCGCCAGTATTTCTCCTATAAACAATCAGTCATCGACAAATTCAAGTGGAAATAGTGGTTTGACGGTAACGGAAGAACTGCAAAACAGTTAAATTTAAATGATTTGAAATACTAAAACTCTCAAACAAAAGCTGAATTAAAAACGTTAACAATGCCCCTTTACCGCCGAGAAGGTCAGAGCGTCGTCAACGTTGAATGGGTGGCATTTTTACAGGCCGCCAAATCCGTTATTGCAGGAATAGCGTCCACGTTAACGGAAAGCAGTACCGGAAATACGTTCAGCAGGTTAGATCAGTTGGAGATCTTGAGTAATCGATTGGAGAGTATTTGTTCCTCCTTCACGACGTTATTGGACAACTTAAACGCTGATGAAGGCACTTTAGGTTTGCTTACGGACGTTTTAGCCAGCCTAATGTTAATTCAGAGAGCGATCTTTAGAGAGGTGGAAAGGATTCAGTCGACTAATGAAAATACATCTTATAGGTGTTCAACCCATCGAACAAATAGACCTGGCCGACCAAAATATGACATTACCAAAAACCAACTTGAATTTTTGCGAAGCAAGCACTTTTCCTGGGTAAGCATTGCCAAATTGCTTCACGTGTCCACACGGACGTTAAGAAGGAGAAAAATTGAACTTGGTATTGATGACAATTTTTCTGCGATTTCCGAAGAAGAGCTAACTCGTACAATGGAAGACATTATTAAAATTACCCCTAATATTGGTCAGAGTAGGATGGTTGGTGCTCTCAGGGCAAGAGGGCTAAACATACAGAGACACAGGGTCAGGGAGTGCCTCAGAAGAATTGATCCAGTCGGCACAGCTCTTAGATGGAATCCGAGAATTTACAGACGTAAGTATCAGGTTCCGCACCCAAACGCATTGTGGCACATGGATGGGAACCACAAGCTGATACGATGGCGTTTAGTTATTCACGCATGCATTGATGGATATAGCCGACTTGTTATATACCTGCAATGTGCTAATAATAACCGGGCGTCGACCGTCGTAGATTTTTTTGAACATGGAGTCACAGACTTTGGTTTACCGTTAAGGGTGCGGTCTGACCATGGCTTAGAAAACGTGGACGTTGCACGCTTTATGCTTATTCATAGGGGATGTAACAGGGGTAGTATGATAACAGGTAAATCTGTGCATAACGTCAGAGTTGAACGCCTCCACAGAGATGTCTACTGTGGCGTACTTTCTCACTATGTCTGGCTATTTACTACCATGGAGGAAGACGGTTTTCTTGATTGTCTGAATGAAAACCATCTTTTCGCATTGCACTACGTATTTATTCCAAGAATACAAAAGTCCCTTGATGAGTGCAAGTGCCAATGGAATGGCCACCCAGTCAGTACAGCTGAGAACCTTAGTCCTGAACAACTTTTCATCAGAGGGACAATGTCCAATTGTAACCAGAATATACTGGAAGGAGTGAATGACAATAACGAGTTTGATGAGTTCGGTTCGGGCATAGATTTAGATACAGATGCAACTCGCCCAATCAATGATGATGACTATGATGTTTCTGTACCACAAATTAATGTCAATGAAGAGCTATCTATCGTGCTACAGGAAAATATAACCCACCTAAGTGATGATGGACATCATGGTGTAAATTTGTTTAGAGCATGTGTGCAGCTATTAAGCGAGAATACAACAGGTTAATAGTTTGTAAGTTTTCTTTATTAAAATTTCAAAAAGTGCAAAAACGATGATACTGTAAGGTACAAAAATATCAACACGAATCCATCTAAACATGTAATTGGTGATTGTTTGAAATGTCAGTCACATTGGACACTGCTAGAAAAAATACCGGGGCAATTCAGTAGAAAAGTGAAATGGCATACTTGATTTATAGTGATAGTTGCATAAAAACATTTCACCTGCGTGGGACAATCACCAATTACTTATTAAGAAACAACAACAATGCTAAGTCATAATATAAATATGAAACTGTAAATTAAGTGTACATTAACATTTGGCATAAACCAAGTGAAAAAAACTATAACAATTTTTCAACTAGGTACAATTAGAATCCTCAACTACCCAGTCATAAAAACTTACTGAACTCTCAAGATCAGTTTAAACAATATCAAATGCCCATGACAATTTATCAGCTAAGATGTTACTAAACTCCTCAGCTAAGTCATTATAACACTGGTATGTACTTGGTAGCTCTAACAGAGGCGCACAGGTTTACCCTGGGCAGCTACAAAATCAACCTTAATCTGTTCAGTTACAATAATGTCGCTACCTGTAGTGAATTGAAGAAACCGTGTTAAAGACTGACCCTGTAAAGACTTAATGTACCGTTTTAAGTGATCCAAACATTGGTTTTCAGCATCATTAGCTGGAACGCACTTAAGCAGTTTTATTACTTTACGACTGCTTGGCCGCTTTTCATCGTACATTTCTTTCAGCACTTCTATGGATTGAAATGGGGGGAAAGACTTTAATGTTTGAATATGGGGGCCCAACAGTGGACAACATATTTTGGCTTTTGAATTAGTTCTTGGTGTGCAAGTTCAGAAAAAATCAACCTAATATTTTCAGCGTTTGGAATGCGGTGGCACTTGTACGAACTTAATAGCTCTAGCACTTCTTCATCATCAGGAGACAATTCTCCATTGCAACACTTGTCAAAGGTCTCACGCTCATCGTCTGAGATGTACATTCGAAACGATTGTAGTAGGTCATGATTTGTTAAACTTTCTTCTTCAAACAAGCAAGTAGCAACAAATACTAAGGAAAGTGAAATTGGAAAATATTTTTCCCTGAGGTAACCATAAATAAGAATTCTAACAATTGCAACCCACTGCATTTTTTGATGGTCATGCCTTATTGAGGGAACTTTTTCCTGCACACCTACAGCCAGTGAATCAACGAAAACCTGCCAAAAGCTTGTGAGAACATCCCTAGCTACACCTACACCTTCACCCTTTTCAGCCGAACCATCAAAACCTATTACAGTAAACATTAAAAGACTACCAAGTGTGTCTGGGTCTTGAAAGAGTTGAATCATATCATTCTTGAGGGTTGTTCTGTGCACTGTTACAGCCTTCACTGGATAATTGACAATATGATTCAGGTCAATTACACCAGCTTCAGTTGTTAATCGATGTGCTAAATTAGGAAAAAAACAAAGTGTTATAATAGGAATATTGCATTTACATGCACCCTTGTACTGACTTACATGCTACTGTAGCTTAACAGAACCATTAATTGGCCACAGTAATATGTGACAAACGCTT